ACAAACGACTTGTCTAGTTTTTTCTTGGAACAATTCGTTATTAATCTCGAGGATAGTCTAACATGGTAAACTTGGAATGAGTGGATGACCAAACAACAAAGTTACAGCCAAACAGTATGTTTTATGAATCAGAATGATCCTCATTCTCATGTTGGAGACAACCATTTAAACAGGTTAGGCAGTTAACCGTTAAAAATCGAAGCTTCAGGTAACTTTTGGTGGGTCTTAAACTTTCCATGAGATAGGAAAGGAGGAGGAGCTGGGAACACGTCAACGAAAAAGGAAGAAGAAGAAGAAAATCTCATTCCAAATGTGAGCCCAATGGCTTTGATTTTTTGCGCTTTTTCACTTTTGAATCAGACCCCACCAGGTTTGTCCACTTCAATTCTCAAATTAGACCGTTTCTTTCCTATAAAATAAGGCTTTCCATGTTGAGTAATTCCCTACATGCTGCCTTCATCTTCCCCTGCAAACACAAAAATGGCTTTAGCTTTTCGTTCTTCAATTTCTTTCATCAACCAGAAAGAACCCAAAACTTCCGACGTCGTCGTCTCTGCTTCAGTCTCCTTCGCCAAAATAAAGCCATCGCTCCGCCTGCGAGCCATGCACTCAAACTCGACGCCCGAATCACAGGCCAAACGGCACAGTGATCATCATCATCAACACCATGCGAGGAGGACGAAGGAGAAGTGGGAGAAAGTACACGCGCCGTCGTCTGTGCATGGTCACAATCACGACCACAAGGAGTGGATGAAGGTGCCCGTGTTCGTGATGCTGCCGTTAGACACCGTGACAATGGGAGGGACTTTGAATAAGGCAAAAGCGATGAATGCGAGTTTGATGGCCCTCAAGAGCGCAGGAGTTGAAGGAGTGATGGTGGATGCTTGGTGGGGTTTGGTGGAAAAAGATGGCCCTTTGAATTATAATTGGGATGCTTATATTGAGCTCGCCAACATGGTGCAGAAACATGGCTTAAAGCTTCAGGTGGTCATGTCTTTCCATCAGTGTGGAGGCAATGTCGGAGACACCTGCAGGTATGTCTGTCTGTGTCGCACTTCAATTATTTTCGTGAAAATATGAGTACAACTGTCGGGGGAAAACATGAAACGAAGCAGAGTTGGGAGATTATATATTTCTCTAAATTGAAGCATAAATGTGATGATTGTGTGTTTCAGCATCCCTTTACCGCCATGGGTGCTTGAAGAAATCAGCAAGAACGCGGACCTGGTTTACACGGACAAATCAGGGAGGAGGAATCCTGAGTATATCTCGTTAGGCTGCGACTCACTGCCCGTGTTAAGAGGAAGGACGCCTGTTCAGGTCTATAGTGATTACATGAGGAGCTTCCGCGACACTTTTAGAGATCACTTGGGCACTGTTATTGTGGTAAGTTGCACAATTTCTTCTTCTGCTACGATTTTGGAATCAATGGGGAATTTGTGCTTGCTTTCTCCATGTTATCGTATTAACTATACATGCTGTTATAGAAGAGATTGATTTTTAGATGCTGGTGGGCCGCCGCCGCCAGCAGCATTAGAGTTGGATTATATTCTCAAGTCAAATTGTAGTCTTAAAATGGGTCTTTCATCCTTTTAAATTCTAAAATTAGAGTGTGTTTGATAGGCAGCCCATTTAAATTCTAATACCACAACACTCTTTTTCAGGAAGTTCAAGTGGGAATGGGTCCTTGTGGGGAGCTGCGATATCCATCTTACCCAGAAAGCAACGGAACTTGGAGGTTTCCAGGAATAGGGGAATTTCAATGCTATGACAAGGTAATTCACGAATTTTCGAATAATCTTTCTAAACAAGGGCTCAAATTATAGTTCTGACATTCTTTGTCATCACAAGATATAATTTCAAAAAAATATGTATCTCAGTAACTAAAATGATCAGTTTGTCACAACTCATACAGTATATGCGAGCATCTTTGGAAGCATCAGCAGAGGCCATCGGAAAGAAAGAATGGGGAAGAAGCGGACCGCATGACGCTGGCCACTACAATCAATTCCCAGAGGAGACTGGATTCTTCAAAAGGGACGGAACGTGGAACACCGAGTACGGACACTTCTTCTTGGACTGGTACTCCACCAAACTGCTCCAACATGGCGACGTGATCCTCGCATCTGCCAGTGAAATTTTCCAACATTGTGGGGTCAAACTTTCCGGGAAAATTGCCGGAATCCACTGGCATTACAGATCAAGGTCGCATGCTTCTGAGCTAAATGCTGGATACTACAACACTAGATTCCGTGACGGCTATCTACCAATAGCAAGAATGCTGGCAAAACATAGGGTTGTGTTCAATTTCACCTGCATGGAAATGAGAGACAGAGAGCAGCCAGAACATGCAAATTGCTCACCAGAAGGGTTAGTTCATCAAGTGAAGATGGCAACTAAGGAAGCTGGAGTAGAACTTGCTGGTGAGAATGCACTGGAGAGATATGATGCACATTCCTATGCTCAAGTCTTGGCAACAAGCAGATCAGACTCGGGCAATGGATTGGCTGCATTTACATACCTTAGAATGAATAAGAAGCTGTTCGAAGGAGATAATTGGAGACACCTCGTGGACTTCGTGAGAAGCATGTCTGAAGACGGTCGGAGACACGGACTTCCACATTGTGATTCCATTGGGACGGACCTGTACGTCGGTCATATAAAAGGCACTAAGAAGAAACAATATCAAGATCAACACGTTGCTCTTGTGTGAATATTTACGGAGGCATGTTCAGGCGCCGTGGGGTATATATATCTTTTAAGAGTACACAGTAAGATGTTACGGAAACAAAATCATAAAAAGACAGAGAAACAGAGAAAAGTGGAAAAGTTGTGACACGAATACAGAACTGTGGCATCCGTGTTGTGCCATGCCAAAACCTGCGATGGTGGAGAAGAAATTATTTTGTTCATGTCATGTATATAAGTCCAGTGTCATTGGATAAAACCTTTATACCTAAATATCCACTGCATACTGATATCGTACTTTATTCGCGATGTCGGTTGTTTGGGAGAGACACCCAGGGGGCCACGAAACTCATTATATACAACAAACACTTCACTTCTGTCATAGAATAAGAGCATGTTGTGTTTTCTTGTTTATAGTTAAAAGCACCAACTTCTCTCTTAAGTATATCAGTGCTATAGACTAGCACAATTCTCACCTGGAGAAAAACATAGTCCATATTCCTAAAATAATCTTTCATACTGCAATGCATGAACCTTTGATGTCACGATGAAGCCAATATGTAGTTTCCTGGAAATATAATTCTGCAAATTCGGAAAACTATTCACATTGATCATCAACACTTACTAAAGAGATCTCGGATTATTACCGCAAGGTTAAACTGCTCAATGATCAGCGTCTAAATCATAAATTGGAAGTTACATATTCGATTCTCTATACTTTCAAATTGCTTTGATCATCCATAAAGTACTCGTACAATCTAAAAACAAGAAGAAATGTTCAAAAACATTGAGGTAAATAAACTGCTTTTCTCAGAATGAAGTAATTCGTGCGAGCCAAAGACAGCAAGAGCGAAAAAAGGCGGTAACATATCTTGTCGATAAGCCAAGAAGTTCACACGGAGAGAAGCCTTATTTTCTGTAGTTACTGATAGAATGACGCCAAGAATCAAGGATTTATGCAGCCGCATTTCACGAATAGAAATCATTAAAACTCAACATATAGAGCTGTGCGTATTCAATAAGTTAGCGTATTCTCCCACAGTTAAATGTGAAACATTCAACCCCTACATTTAACACTACTTACAATATTGTCAAGGCAGAGGTCCAGTGTATTTTGAAAGCACACAAAGTACAAACCAAGACTTGTGCGGAATCTAAAGACTACGGGAAATAGACTTATGCCCAGATAAGAATTGCAAAGTCTTTCAAAATTAGCCAAGGAGTGTATGAAACATGCCGCTGAACATGATCCAGGAATCGCCTCGTAACCAGCCAACTCATCAAAGTCGTTCACATCGCTATACCCTGCTTCGACATTGCATAAAAATGAGTCAACACGAAGCTTATTCATCAAAGGACAAGTGCCAAATGATAATTGTGCATGAAAAGGCTACAAGCCTACAGTAGGAAAATAGTCTGCCGTATCTACAAACAGTTAACTTTGTATTGAATTGCGCAAATCGCAAATCAATTAGAAGTGAGATCGAATTCAATGGGCACTGGAAACAAGGAAGTCCAAAAGCGAGACCACGAAGAGAGACGAGAACTACCGATTCAAGAATGAGAACCGGAGGAAGGGTTTCCCCGACGGAGATCTTCGATTAAGTCACCAAGCTCTTTGCGAGAGGACTCTCTGCCGAACATGAAACCGTACCTGATGCAGAGAATTAATGAGAATGAAGAATCCTAATACAAAAGGAGAAAAGGGGGGGAAGATAGTCACCAAAACGAGATCGCAGAGAAAATGCCAGCGGTGGCCACAGTCTGAATGAGAGTGAAGCTCTTCTGAGTCTTCTCCATTTCAGCTGAACAGAATTCTTCACATCATTTCAGGTTTCAGTACCCGCTTTGACAGTTGCGACTCCTGCTCTGGAACGGAGCCGCTCTCAATTAAGGCCTAGAAAAATATCGGAGGCCCAAAATTGATGAATAAACCTTGTTCGGCGAACTGGATTAGAAATATGGGCTTAGGCACTCACTTCCTACAAAAAGAGAAAAATCACTGTAAGACCCGACCCAAAAATTCTATAACATTTGAGAAACATGCAATCATAAGTTGGCACGTGAAAAAAAAAAAAAACAGGTTTTGATTGCTTACTTGTTATTAAAAGTTTTTAAAATATTATGATATTTTTAGATTTTAGATTTTATATTAATATTAATTAAAGTAAAAGTTTCAATACTTGTTAAATAAATATCGGCCAAAAAGCATAAAGAAAATCTGATCCGACGGTCACACGGTTGTAATCACTAATCACCGTAGCCTCATTCGTCAACGTTGCTTCCAATTATTAGTATTGTCAATTGTCCACACTCTACCATCACTTTGCCTTATTTCTAGTCGGCTCAAAATATGTATTATTAGTTTCATTCAAGTCAATGCCAGCAAGTCCTCTTGACGTTGCCATACCCATTTCTTTCAAAACTACGCCTCACAAACAAAACCATTATTAATAATTTAATCTGTTGAACTTCCACTAGTCAAAAGTCAAAGCACTTAATATAATAAGAAAACTTCATTAATTATTCTTCAAGTTCCCACTGGGGAAACCAAAAAAAAAGAAAAAACTGTTTACAGGAGGTTGAATTAGAGAACCCCATGGCAAAGGGGCCCAAAAAAATATGGAAATAAATGACCCCTCCTAAAGTATCTCCAGCTGGCAGCCGCAATAGAATACGCGCTTCTAACACTTTTTTTTGCCCCGGAGTCGGCCAACTGAGTACATTTCTTCCTTCTTACCCATTCCCTGAAGGCTGAAATTGGGTATAGACTTCCTCAGTGTTCTAGGAACAGATGGCAGCTTCTCATTCACCACACAGCCAAATAAAAGAGAAAAATTGCAGCATTTCGATTATTGACCTGATGCTGTGGAAACTAAGTTCGGTATAGATACCTATTAGACGAGACAGCCTTCCCTTCATTGCGCTGATGATGATATGTTCCCAATATGCGTTGAAAGCTAGTTTTGGATAAAGACGGGACCTGGCTTCGTGGGACCAGATGACCAGAAAACGCATTCAACTTACGCATGACATGAGCTAAGAGTTACACTATTTGCTTTTTGGAACCAATTTAGAAGCCCTTTTTGAAGTTTCTGAATACTGCAATGCTTGCTTCAAGCTTTCCACTACCTGACTCATAGATGGCCTTTCTTCCGGTCTCTTGTTTAAGCATCTGTCTGCCAACTTGGCTACCTTCCGAGCAGCACCATGCGAATAATCATTTCTGAGTCGAGGGTCCATTATCACGCTGAACCTCCCACTATCAGCAGGATACTGCTTGACCCAATCTAGAAGCTTCTGTTCTTTCGGTCGCCTTCTATCCAATGCTTGCCTCCCTGTAAGTATCTCATACAATACCACACCAAAACTCCATATATCACTCTGAACTTTGAGGTGGCCTGTTTCTATATATTCTGGGGCAGCATATCCATATGTCCCCACCACCTGACAACAAGCATAAGACACAAACGTCGGTAGTGTCAGCTCAAATAATTTTAAAGAATGTCAAAACAAAGCTGCTTTTTTTTTTTTGGTCAAAAGAAACAAAGCTGCTCTATTTTGACTTGGTAATACAAGGTTCAATCCACCATCCACCTACCGCAGTGGACACGTGAGTCTGGTCACCACTTGGACCTTCCCTAGCAAGACCAAAATCCGAAAGCTTTGGATGGAAGTTCGTGTCCAATAAAACATTGGAAGATTTGAAATCTCGGTATATTACCTACCAAATAAACAATCAAGAAGATTATCAACAAAAGTAGGGGTTTGAATGCCCAATTCACAGATACGAAACGTTATAAGGATGAAGTACCTGAATCTCTAATTCCTCGTGTAGATAAAGTAATCCTTGGGCAGCACCGAGCATGATCTGCAATCTCATTTTCCACGGCAAGGTGGGGAAAGCCCGTCCGAAAAGGTGATCCTCCAGGCTCCCGTTGGGCATGAACTCATAAACTAACACCCGTTGGATTCCTCTTTCTCCATCTTGAGAGAAGTATCCTAATAGTTTCACCAAATTTGGGTGATTAACAATGCCCAGAAATTGGACCTCTGCCAGCCATTGTTTATGCCCCTTAACAAGAAAGAAGACTACATTCAGAAAGAGATATAGCTAATGCAGATATTATTACAATGTGCAAGTGTCATGATAATTCAGATTTAGACACTCAACAATTGGATATGATTAGCAGATAAACCATAATAATAAATTCTGTAGATGGCACCGATATAATAATGTATATGTCAACTACAATATTTCTTATGCTCAACAAATATTACTAATATGGATTGTTATAGTTCTTGACACGTGAAGGAAGAAACAATTGGGTTTCAAAGTTCCCAATTAACTTCTTTTAGTACACCTCTTCAAAACTGCTTAGCCCAGAAAAATTTACTAAATATAAAACACGAACAATGTCCTCTCTATCTAATAACTATCAGCCTAGGCCAATTTAACTGTCAGCTACTGGAGCAGATAAGAGTTACTCACTGCAGAAAACAATTGGAGAAAGTAAAAATAAAGAAAGAGGATTAGACAAGAACAAAGCCGCAGAAGCCGGTATACCTGAAAACCACGGGTGTTAAGGCTTTTTATCGCAATAACAATAGGATCACCTCGACCATCTTGAGGCCTGATCGTACCTTTATAAACGCTCCCGAAACCCCCTTCTCCAATCTTCAGCCTCCTATTGAAATCATTCGTGGCCTCCCTGAGCTCTTGCAAAGTGAAAACTCTCAAATTGTGCTCTTTCTCTTTGTACAATTCTGTTATTGTTTTCGGTGATGGCAGCGAACTCGTTGAAGTCACTGCCTGATTTGAACCCGGATGATTCTTGTGTGATTGTTTCTTCGATTCTGAGGAGGAGGACTTCGATCCTCTTTTAAATTTGAACAAGAAGCACTTCATTTTCTAAACATTCATTTAGCGATGTTCCCGATTAAGGAATGTTATCGCCGACTCTAAATTTTCACACTAAACGAACAGGGTTTTTTCCAACGAAAGGAAGATTCACAGGCTGGAAAGAAGAAAGCTGAGAGGCTGAGGAGGAAGGGATTCAGAGCAGAGAATTAGATGGGAAACAGAGTTGAAAAAACGATACGTAAAAAGAGAATGATAATGCATTGAAGATGGAAATTCAGTGGGAATAAAAGCAGAAACAAGCTGGTCAATAAAAAAACAGCCGAACCTAGAGAAACTGAGAATTCCCGAAATTCAAAACATGAGTTGCGTGAAGTGGAAGGAATTGAATAATTATTGGAATAAGGATTAATTTAGAGAAAGGGAAAGCCCCGAAAGAGATGAGAAGCTGCGGAAGATAGCCACAGCGTTCAGGGAAGGAATATAGGGAAGCGAGACCCAATTTTTTTCTCCCAGAGACTACATATAAATAAAAGAGATTTTTCAAACCTGGAGCTTCGAAGATGAGGCAGCGTCAATGGCAATTCAACGGACTGCTCTTAATGAGGTGCCACCGCCACACGCACAGCACCCTTCCGGGGGTGACATTGACTTAACCATCCCTTTCCTTTTTTCTTTTTTTTCCCTTTTTTTTTTTTGGCCGACCTTAACCATCCCTTTCTTTCTTCTTCTTTTGAAACTTGAAGCTTTTTTTTTTTTTTTAATGGGATTCTCCCTAGTTAATAATCCCTCATTGCTTTTTATATAAAATAAACATCAAGATAAAAATAGATAAATCCAGTTGCAAGTTATAAATATATCACAGAGGACTATATTTTTAAAAATAACCTTGTTTAATGATTATCTTAAGGAATTGAATAGTGGCTTATAAATGAGATATCATCTCTTTTTTTAAATAACGACATAAGTAAACACTTTTAATAAATATCATAGATAAACAAAGAATTTTTTTCTTAATAAATAGTGTTCATTCAAGCAAAACGTTAAATCCGGCTGGCTTTGAAGTTTGGATGAAAATTTAATATGACTATATTAAAGATATTATAATTATATATAATACTTCTACTAGATTAAAATTACCTACCACACTAAAATAAAACGTTCAAAAAGCTAATTATGTGTTGCGGAAAAGAAAAATTAAACTACGTAATCATGTAATCAGACATTTTTGAATGAAATTTAAACACTTCTCTTAAAAAATATTATCTTACTAAGGGAGTGTTTGGATGAGTTCATAAGTGTTTTTTTAAAAGTATTTTTTCGTAAATCGAAATAAACCCATCCACATATTTACTTTGTAGACTGTAAAATCAAAATCATAGTTTTGTTTCTATCCAAATACTTCTTAAAACTGAAAAGTCTAGCACCCATCATCTTTGGCTCACTAACAAATTTATAGAACTTAAGAGGTGTTTGGTTATCTCAAAAACACTTTTTAAAAATGTTTGTATGCAAGTCGAATAAAGAAAATTATTAAGTTAGCAGAATACTAGATGATTCTTCAATGAATAAAGAAAATGCTAAGAAAACAGAAGCGCACAAAGATGAACCTTCGTCCCGCGTTTTACTAGTTCCCATTGCTCTCGTGCGGGGCAGAACGTTGGAAAGACAAGCAAGTAGGAAAAAAAAAACTCTCAGTTAATTTATTCAGTCGAGTAAAAGTCAAGAAAAGGGAGGTACCCATTAGAGAAACAAAAGACAAAAGTGGTACTAAAGACAAACCACTTGGTCAGACAATGGTTTTGTGGGAAGTCAAGAGTGTGGGAATAGACTGTTCTGGTTTTTATGGTTTGACAATTCACAGCTTCATGTTCCCACGAAGTTGTGTTGTATTGTCCAATGATGAATGAGGACCCCAATTCGATTCGGATTCTTGTGAAGCCACCGCGATCATCGGCACCTACCACATTGGTGATTTGGAGATTTGGATCATTACCGACCTCCATTAGCATGTGAAGATCATTAGAAAGAAACCTCTTTGTTAAGCAGCACCGAATACTAAAATTTTCGAGGTGAAAAAGAGACGGATAAGTTAAATTGACGCACTCAGGAGAATTTCATTGTTTGGCCACCAATCTCAGCTACCTAGTTTGAAATAGAAAACCATCCGAACGTGGCCATACAGCTTCTTTTAACATTCTCCCATGTCGTATTGGGCTAAAAAAGTGGGTTTGTTGCTTGTTTCATGACTCTTTGCGGGATTATTATGTTCACAAACTTTAGGGCAATTCCGCTGTAGCTGCACTTACGTTTTAAAATAAATATAACACGCTAGTGCGTTTGAGACTATGATAGATTTCAATATGATATTAAATACACTCTCAGGTGAGGTCTCAGTGACAACCCCCCCCCCCCCAAATTAAAAAAACTAAAGAAAAGGTTTTTTTTTTTTTAACATCTTCCCAGGAACAACTATAGCTCCACACTGAAAATCTATGCCTTTAACAACTTTTTTTTTCAAAAAAAAAAAAAATCCAGATACTACGGGTAATACTATCTGTGGGCTCACCAAACAAAATATATATAATAATAGAATAAATTCTTTGTCCAATAAAAAATAATTGAACAAATTCCCTCAATGGAAATGACACTGCTAGCTTGTCATAGAAAACCGACAGCAATGCATAAAAATACATCTAAGAATCAATCACGTCAGCTCATTTTGGCTATTCCTGTGACCCGGTAGCTCCATAGAAAATTTTCCCCATTCAATGAATAATTAATCATGAAACCCTGTAACCACACTAAAGGAGAGCCTGGTCCATCATTCTCAGGTCAGCCAATCTCTATAGAAAATTACGAAACAACACGTCCAATGCAAAAGCAACTGAGCAAGCTCTGTCATGTAAAAACAGCTGCAGCCAACCTCATCACCGTCAAAGCAAAGAACAGGCAAACTAATCGGATGAGCTCATAACTCACACACTAAATCGTAGCTCAACTATGATCCCAAAGTAACTTCCGGGTCTGGGCTGGGGGTGCTAATCCTGGAATATCCCGAATGTCCTTGTTGTTTGGGTGCACGATCTGAAATTTGAAAAAACAGCTACTTATGTACGTTGTCATCTTATTGCTGCTGGATAATTTAAACCACAGTGTTTGGTGGCGGAATTGACTCGATATTGACACTACATGCATTTTTTATTAGGTCGTGATGTGTATATAAAATGACCATAATCTGACAGAAATTTCTTATCACCATCTATTGAAAAATCACAAGATTCAGTAGCTCACAAATGAACATTTTTCGAATACAAACATATTAGCAGCTATAATTTCTTGTTATTGCAACTATATGTTTGCTATTGCTAACAGTTTCTAACTTCTTCAAATTTATCACATGGCTGCATGGATTAGTTATTCAGAAAACAGTGGCACAGAAGCGAACATTTTCAGTAAAACACACACATGAAGGGAAATCAAGGGCTGTCAGGCAAGAAACTGGAAAGCACAAGCACCTGGTTAATTACAGTTAACCAATTGCTTCCCCTATTTGTAAACAAATTATCTAAGCTAAATTTATTCACCGTGAAATGCCAAAAAAAAAAAAAAGGAAAACCAAGAAATAAGAAGTCAGATAAAATCATACGGAAGAAAACTAACTCTTACCTTTACAATAATGATAGCTATTACTCCAATCACAATAAGAACCAGTAATGCCATAATACACTTGTCAGTAGCAACCTATTGTAAAACTCCGGCATGTTAACCAATAGCAAATAAATATACTTCAAATATTACAATGCAACCGGGGGATAACGTAGAAATTGACCTGCCTACCGATTTCCTTCACCAATTTAGTTGCTCTCTTTATGGAGAAATGGATAGAATCCAGCTCATTGACGATTCTGCTCATTTGTTCCGTCTAAAAATAGAAGAGATTGCTGTCCTTAGTACCATAACAACTTAAAGTATTCTGTTTCTTCACCTTTTTTTTGGCTACATTGGAAGAGTTTGAATTCTAGACATACCCCATCCCACCCTTCTATTTTTTATTTGATTCCAATTTCTTCTGTTCTTTTTTTGGGAAGGGGGCATAACAAGCATGCACATACCTGAGCCTTAAGAGCTGCATTAGTCTCAACCCCGACATTTATTGTCTCTTCAACAACCTATTAATAGAGTGATTGACAGAAATCAACGTGATGCCAAATTATCAGCCGGAGGTATTCAAACAGAAAGGATTGTAAATAAATATGTATATAGATTCAGCCAATTTCTGTAATAAGAAGGAACGCCGTTGGGTTGGATGATCCCTCAGAAGTGATATATGTAACTACCCATTAAGTGAATAGTGGACATGAAATTTGATGTGTAATGTTCTCTCGCCAAACAAAACCCTCATTTAATGGATTGGCAAATTAGCATCATTTACTACGACCGGTTCAACCAACTTTCCCAGACAAAGCAAACTCAGTTTACTAAAGTCTCAATTGACCTAGTTTTATGACGCAACTGTTATTCAAGATATTAGACCTACCTTCTTTCCCCTCTCAATGGCTTGATCTGTCTCGTCCATCATCCGATTCCCCCTATCAATCAGCTGTTCATTTGTCATTGCTGTAAAGAAAGAAGTTTCTTACATTATAAAAGCTCCACATAAGAAACAACATATTTCACGAAGTAGGCATGATCAGTAATGCAAATATCAACATAGAATGTTGTGGGAGGCATGACCATTTTCCCCCACTCTCGTTATCACTGGAATAATTATACCCTCAACTCAAATTTTCCAAAACATCTAGGATTCTCTGCTTCTCCGATGACCGAAACAGCATAAAGTTCTACTAGAATCTAGAGATATTGGATTTTTCAGAAAATAATCAATACAACTACGAATTATATAAAGTAAACAGAACAAGAACCAGAGGATTTATATAAAATAAGACAATTAAGGAGACAAATATGCAATGGTTAAAAAGACACAATAACATAGTACAATCACTAGTTCCACATGGTTTAACAGATTAATCATGAACTTTCATTTATATGGATATCAAAGACAGGATATATGACTATTACAACAACAATAACAATGAGCCTTATCCCACTAGATGGGGTTGACTATATGAATCGCATGACGTCATTGTGCTCTATCAACAACCAAGTCTTTAGATATGTTATTGACCAGAATGTCTTGTTTAATGATTTTATTGAGCGTTCTTCTTGTTCTTCTTCTGCCTTTTTTTAGTAGCATCAAAACTATCTAACCTAAGTGAACCTCATGGAAAAATAGCATAGGTTAGAGAAGCTTATATGCTTACAGGAAGCTAGCAAGACATTTTCTTCTGCATAGCCTTCATTAGGCCCCTCGAAGAGCTGAATTCGCTTATTCTCAATATCTGTGGCATATCTGCATTGCAACCAACACTATAGGCTAAATGGTCCATGATATCAACATATGCAACCTACTCGTATTAGAACACAGATAACATAAAAAAGACATTTTGACAAAGTTAGATCGTGAATGATATGAACTACAGAGTCCATGCCTGTCCAACAGACCAACATCAACTACTAGCATATGTTAACTTACTGCTTTTTAAGAGCAACATATGAATTTAACTCTTTGATCTGCAACAAAAATTGCAATTACTTATCAGTGAGGTTGAAGAATGTTAATGATAATCATCAGGACCAAGAGGCCCACCCGGGGGGGGGGGGGGGGAATTACCAATTTTAGGAACTAACATAAGGATATCATATAGGTCTCAGAAGTTAACATCTTACCATGGACTGCTTTTTCTCATTCAGCATTTTGTTGGTTTCCCTATCATTTCTGCCCTCCAGAGCCTTAACTTCTGCATCAAACTCTTTTATAAGCCTGAGAAAATAGAGCCAGTCAGCCAATAAAACATATTAATATACACCATGCCCTTCAGAATAGAGATCAAAACCTCAATTCTTAGGTTGTGGCAGCTCATGATCGGCTTCCAAAACCAGTGGTTTCAGTAAAATGGCAGTAATAATATCTTGAAAGTAAGAAAAATGGTTTTTTATGGACAATCTGCGCTGCGGCTGCGTTTATTGACATAAGCAAGCTACGCAGGGCTGGTCTGGCTGGTTATAAATTCCTATATAATCATAGACATTCCTGAACTACCATAAGCGCGAATAGCTGTGGTTGTTGCACCCACTTGCCAATTAAATAGCCCCAGCTTCCCTCTTCTCAACTTCGTATCTGTCCTATCCTCTCTAGATCTTTTTTCAAAATTTCCCTTGCACTAATGGAAGCAATACGAAAAATAGAAATAATGTAATAATCGCCAACATACCGCTTGCAGTCTCGCATTTTATCAGTCAACTCTTCCAGCTGCCTGCTCTGCCTATTTGAATCCTTAATCTTCTCCAATTTCTGAAATCCATTTCTGTACGGATAACACTGCAACTATTCAGTACCAACAATATAAACAGCCGCAAGTTGCGTCATGATTAAACAAAAGGGACTATAAGAGGTAAGATTTGAAACATTGCCAATATCAGCACCCAGGTGATGCTAGCCTCGACATTATGGCAACAGTTCAAGGAAAGGCAGATTTTATCTATACGACAATTTGAGAAACCAACAAGGTTTGAGATCTTACGATAAAGCGCGGAAAATGTCGCTGATCTGTCCGTCGATCTCCGCCAGTCCCTCGCTAAGTGCTGATAATGGATCCATCGTCTCTACTTGAAAGCAATGATATCCGCAACCTTTAAACTTCAGATGACAAATCCAGAGGTCTTCGCAAAAGCTTTGGAAATTTGTATTTGAATACGATGCTTCACAGTTCTACCCCACTATTTTAGATACAAGCAAAAGAGGAAGATCTTCAGGGGGAAATGAATACGCCAGCAAACACGATTTGAGACTTTTGGTTCGATAGAAATGTAGATTCATGGCATCCAAACAACCTCATTGAGAAGCATATGCATTCAGAAGCTTTTGAAATTCAAAGAGTCCCGTTTCCAACCACCGAATTGCCGGAACAGCACCGAATGGAATCGGATCCAAGCAATGCAGGATACAGCTAGCGACCGAGAAGAACGAAACCGGAGGCTCACGCTGTCTGTCGATCTCAAACAGGAAGTTCAGACAAAATTGGATCTCCCTCGTGATCTACAGAAGCTTTGTGGCTGTTTTTTTAAAAATTGCTTGTTATTAATGTTTTATGAGCAACCTTCTTGGGGCGATTCGACGCGTATATTGAGAGGCACCGTAAGCGCGGCCTCAGCGGCCAGACAGAGGCTTCACCCGTTTAAGCCGCGATTGGCGAGTCACCATGGATGGCCCATCTGGGATCCGTCTAAAGCACTACTATAATTTAAGCAAAAACTACATCCTACAGGCACTGCACCTAAATCAAATTGCAACATGGCCAAAAAAGAGAAAAGGGCGGGGGGCTTTACCGAAATTATAAATATAACGTTTTCCCCACTTTTAGCTAAGCATTCTAATTAGCACGTTTCAATGATAATTTAGAATTTTATAATTTTATAATTATAACTAAAACACGTATTAAAAAAAACTAAAACATATTTGCATAATTTGTCAGGGTTCTAACATTTTCTACGAGTTGGCGAGCTAGATACTTACAGGCACGGATCGAATCAGTAAGCTGTGCTATCATAAACGTCTGTGTCACTACATCACAATCAGTAAGTTGGCGAAGTTCTAATATTTTCCCGTTTTCCCGGCGGATATAGCTGAGTTATGTTGCTGGTCAAAAAAAAAAGAAAAGATGAATTAAGTAACTCATCCTGATAAAGAGCGCAAAATAGAGTTCGTGCCACGTTTATTTTTCAATTAAATCCTCCATCTATTCTTATACTCCTATAAGACCCTCATACATTTAAGGGTCAAATTTAGGAAGATATATGTTTTATTTTATGAGTTTTAATTTGAATTTATCTTAACATTTAATATTTTTTAATATTATCCTTAATTATTTTTTTCTAATCATATTTCTCCACACATTCCCTTTCATCTTTTTTTTATATTTATTATAAAGGCATGTATAAAAATAAAAGTATATTTTTAATTCTTTTATTGTCTTTAACTAATTTTAACTAATTATTTGTTATCTGTGAATTAATTATTTTAAACTTATAATAAAGATTGAATAGAGTACTTTTTTGTTTGTCTTCTTAAGAATAAATTTGAATTATTTAAATTTTATTTCAACATTTTTAGCATTTATTTGCTCAAACATGCATTTTTGTTTTTTTTGTTTTTGGTTATTGAAGTATTCTTTTAGAGAAGACAGAGGCATTATGAAAAAATGTAATGTAGTTATATAATATTTTTAAACTGATGCTATGTTTTCGGAGAAAAAATCGATGCAATGTTACAATTTTTTAACGATTAATGTTAAATTGATGTTGAGTTGAAGGGAAAAAACCTCCCATCTCACACTCCCCCGTGAATTAACACGGGAGAGTTAGAAGAAAAAAAAAGACTAATAAGGAGAGATATTTATGAGAAAGGATCATAAAAATTAAAATTATTTTAAAAGACCAAATATTCAAATATAAATTTAAAAATACCATACTATCCTTATCTAAACCTCCTGTATTTCTTCCTACATTTTATTTTTAAAACTAATATGAATTAATAAAATTTACTAAATTAACTTGATTTCTTTTAAAATTTACAACCTGCGTAAAAAATCAATAAAAAAAATATGCAAACATTATTCAGTCAAGTAAAAATTAAATTATTTTCTTTATAAAAAATAAAAAAATTATAACCATCACAAATTTTAATTAAAAATAAAATTTAGATTATTATATAATATATTATATACATAATTTTAAAAAATTTAAATAAAACTTGTATAATTTGTTTTTTTTTATTGTATAAGAAAATTATATTAGATTTAGAAATAAAAAATTCATACAATACCAAGAAGGTTAAAGAATTCAGATAATCTTTTACTCTAATTTTATGCAAAATATGTAACCATGGTTGCTTTTATTGGATAATACTTAATCGTAATCCGGAAAATATTGTCAATACAAAATTTCAATAAATCATATAATAAATCAAAATATAAACAAATGATAATAAGTTTTTTCTTTTTTTGGCAAAATGACGATTTTTTATTATCTTAATCTACTAATTATTAAAATATTAGGTAGAAATTTTAACATATTGAAAATTATTTTATTTTACAAAAATTATTTTGTCGGGATATATCCCCTTGTTGTAATTTTTTTAAGTGAAATACAATTTCTTTTATATCCGTTAGTATTTTATATCTTATATTTTATTTATATTAATATATCATATAATTAGGTGGATCTTGTCAAATGATGTTGAAGAGGGGTCTTATAAAATTATAATAATTATCTGAATTATTTAAATTTCTTATCATTACATGAATTTGTTATTTTAAATTTGACATAAATTTCTTATAAAATAAAAATTAATTATACAAAGTTTTTTATTTTTTAAAATTGTGTATATAGTAAATTATATAATAATATAAATTTTAATAAAAATATATAACTTTTATTTTTAATCAAAATCTGTGATGGTTATGAAAATAAAATTTGACTTTTATAAAGAAAATAAAAATTTAATTTTCACATGAACAATGTCTGCATTTATTTTGATTGATTTTTGCATATGTTGTAAACTTTAAGAGAAATCAGGTTTAATTTAGTAAAATTTATAAATTTGTATTAGTTTTAAAAATAAAATGCAGGAGGGAATATAGGAAAAATAGGGGGTTTGGATAGTGACAATATGGTATTTTTAGACTTATATTGAAACAGTTCGTCCTTTCAAATAATTTAAATTTTTTTTATCTTTTCTCATATACATCACTCTCTATTGGCCCTTTTCTCTAATTCTCCCAATTAACATTGAACATTAAAAAAGGAGGCAACGTGGCGTCATTTTTAAACATGCAACCTCTATACATTGTAAAGAGCATTGTAAAGATTTTTTAAAAAATAAAATAAATCAGACGTAGTCAAAATAATCAAAATGCTTTCCGATCATCTCCTTCGACTAGTTAAGTTAGTGCTGGTTGCTTTATCCCAACAGTTATAAGCCATGGTCGGTGAACTTTGGTCATTGACAGGCCCAACTAGTCAAGATATATTTTAATTTTAATAGCTTTTTTAATTAAGATATTCATATGGCACTGTTTAGTTATTTAGATACAATGAATACGATTACTCCCTCCTGTCTCAAAAACTGGGTTTGTGCTGTTAATGTGTCAAACTAGGGGTGTTTGGTAAATTCCAGAAACATTTTTAAAAATTATTTTTATATAAGTCGAGATAAAATTTTTTTCAAATAGTTATTTTATGTATTATAAAATTATTTTAAAAATTATAGTTTGGTTTTGAGTTTTTTGTAAAGTCTCATGCGCAGGATTGAAGGTAGACGCATTCATAAAGTTAGTGGCATCCATGAGTTTTTTCTGGCAAAGTATAAATTATTCAAAATATATAAATAAATAATAAATCCTCTCATTTTAATATTACCTCCAGTCCTTAATATAAGATCTTGTTCGAACTTTATTCTGGTCATAAATATATGATCCCAATCCACATTATCTCTCATAGTTATGTATTTTTTTCTAAGATAATCTTTTTAATAATAATAGTTATACCCAATCCACTTGATTAGTAAGGATATTTTAGAAAAGATAACATTTATTTATTACAAATAAATAACTTAATTTATTTTTTTAATCTCCTCAAATTAGTCAACTAACTCTTATAATTAGGACCGAAGCGAGTACAAGTTATTTCTTCCAACTTTATAACACTTCTCTCGTTGTTGTTTTTTTTTTTTTTTTAATACAAGAGAGGGCAAAGCCCGAGCTAAAAAAAACTAAATAAAAGAGGAAACAGATCCCAAAGCATCCATAATAGAAGATCTTGAGAGACCCTCTTTTGCCAAAGCATCAGCGATTTGATTTTGTTGTCTTGAAATAACTTGCATCTTCAGCTCCCAAGAATAACGCAAGAAATTCTGAATATGCATGGAAGTAAATTAAACTCGCTCCTCCGTTACTTTGAGCATGTTTCAGTATGTCCAAGAGATTTTTGGTATCAAATTCAAGAATAACTTTCTTAAATCCTAAATCCCAAGCAAAATTTAAGCTTTTATAAACTGCCCATTCTTCTGTTTCTAAAGAATTGCAATTTCCAATAAAATGAGTGAATCCGACTATCCAATTTTCAGTGTGATTTTTAATTACCCCATCACACCCTGCTTTGCTATTTGAAAAACTCATTGCACCGTCCATGTTTAATTTTATCCATCCCACCGTAGGTGGCATCTAGACTAATTGAGCAGTTGTCATACTAGTTGAAATGGATTCCTCTTGAATTTGAACATATTTTTTCCAGTTCTGCATAATGACCATAGCAGCTCCAAATATTTTTATAAAAAGAAGGAAAAATAACAAGAAAAACTGCCGAAATAAAAAAATTACAAATAAGAACCCATGAAAATATTAGTATGGGTTTTCACAACAATAGTATAAGTTTAACAACAATTTTTATAAATCGTTTCTTGTATGTAATTTTTTTTATTTCAACGGTTTTTTTTACTATTTTCCCTTTAAAAAATCAGCGTCAAATAGATTATTATTTCTCCATTTCCAAAGGCACCAAATAGCTACTCTCCAAATCTGGTTCCAAGTCCCATCATCAAAAATTCCCGGGTTCCTTTAAAAGTTTAAGGCAAACCAGTCACACAAGCTAGCAGCCAAAGAGGAAGATTTATACCTCGCACCATAGTCTTTTTGCAGACTCACTCTCTTAAAATGTGCAAAACATCTTCCATGCTAGCCTCGCACCACCGACAAATACTAGAGAGACCAAGTACTCCTCTAAGTATTTGTGGGTAATCTATTGTTAAAAGCTATCCACATGAACACTCTCACCTTTCAGCACCTCTCCATCTGGTAGACAGTGCTGTAAACATTTACGGGATTTTCCGTCCAACATATAATAGGCACTCTTCAAAATGAAAGCTCCATCATTTGTTGCATTCAAAGAAAGAATGTCTTCCCCAGCTTCAT